ATTCCTGCTCATGCTTTAGGAGGACAATAACTAAGCTAACTCTTCTTACCCCTTGCCTCCTTGCACAGCCTCTGGGGCGGTTTCACCCCGCACACCAAAGCAAGGCAGAGCACATCAAACCAGCCGGCCCCCCCGCTCCCAGCCAACGGGAGCCATGGGAGAAGCCGATCGGCTTTGCTTTTCTAAGCACAGGTGATTGACTGATAAACTGCATTAACAGCACCACGCTGCTGCTCCAGAAAGAGTGATGGCATTCAGACAGCCTGCCAGGGAAAAGGCTCCATTTCCCAATTCCTCCCATGCACGGCAGACAAGCGCAGGTCAAAAATAAGCATAGCTTATACTGCGCCAAACCACCGCTGGGAAGCTCGTTATGGCCCCCAGATTTGTTGGGGAGGTTTGCTCGGTCTCAGAGCACAGCCTGGGGCTGGCACCATGGCGGGCTGCCGAGCCAGGGTCCGTGGTGGGCTCTGGCAGGATCTGCCTGTACGCTGCCCGAGGGAGGAAAGCAAGCATACTAATCACCCACACGTGTGCAAGTTGAGCCCACACGGCGTTTCTGGGAATATTATAATTTCAGTGCATCCAGGAAAATGCCAGACAGTGTTTTCCTTTTACTTAAAGCTTATTCACAAACAGAATATATAAAATATTTTGTTCTTACAAAACAGGCGACAGAAGCTTCAATCAAATTATTAAGAAAAAGATTTAAGTTGTACTTCCAATTAACTCCGATGAGACAAGAGCCAGACCCACAGAGTTAGCGTGTCTTCACAGGGAGGCAAATGAGCGCAGCTTAGGCTGACTCCGACTGAAACGCAACCCGGACTGAAACAAAACAGCACAATGGAAATAAGTGACTATTTTTAATGATTATGGGGCCAGTGCCCCAAAGCCCAATGGGCGCGCTCTCTGCTGCAAGTACAGCTGCAGGCGCAGGCTGAGATGTTTACACACCCACCCGGGAAGAGAGCTCGCTGCTGATTTCAGGACAGGCTGGCAGAGCAGAGGTGTTTACAGAAGACGGTTTGTCAGAGAGAGACAGATGCGGCAAATGAAAATTTATGAAAATGCAAAGTGGTGGGGCGAGGGGGAGAGCGAGTGGCTGGAAGGAAGTCCCGCACAAGCGTGTCCCAGCCCTGCCACCGCTGCAGCACACCTGTACAGGCAAAGCAGGGAGCCATCCCTCCCCTCCGCCTGCCCCGGGTCCCCTCCTACCCAGTGCCCACCCGGGCTGCTGCAACACTCTACGCACGATTTTTCTCTCTCCATATGTCTCCAGTTTTAGTGCTGCGACGTTGGCAGGTGCCTCTGGCTCCCTAACTGGTGTCAGGCTTCCCATGTTGGAGATGTCGCTGGTGCAGCGTGGCTCAGTGCAGTCCAAGGGGTTACAACACAGGAGAGTTTCCAAGCCATGAAGGGCTGTGCCCAGGGCTTGACTTGCATCTCCAGCCTGCAGCAATCGGGCACCCAGCTGCTGTTGTGGCTTTGAAATCTGCCCTATGCCAGCACCAAGAGCTTTTGGACTAGGAAATAATTTGCTACTAGAGTTTAGGAGGGAAAGGGAAAAATCTCCTGTTTCAAGGCTGATGCCAATGCTTCATCATGAAAGATTAGGAAGAAACTTTCATGGGGGGAAAGGGGCACGTTACCAAATCACTGCTCATTGCATATAATTTCCCGCTCTCCCCCTGCAGCTCTGCTGCAAAAAACATGCTAGCCAAGTAGCACACACCTTTGACTTTTGCTGGGAACTCCCCATACAAGCTAAGCAAATGAAAACATTTGTAGGTTGATACGTTTCACTTACGCCCTACAACAGACTGGTTGCAAGCGATGCCTGAGACCCTGCAGGAAGGAGTAGTGGTAAACAGCAATTTTGGTGCTTCACGTTGAAGTTCAGAGCAGCTGCTGCGGCTCTCCTAAGGGCTGCCGGTGGCCAGAGAGCTCCAGAGATCCCTCTGGTATAGCCCAGATGACATGACCACAGGTAGCACTGAAATAAGGGTCCCCACAGCAAAGCCTGCAGTTCCACTGGGTGCTGACTGCTGCCTTCCCTGCAGCACCCAACAGGAGAAGGAGCAGCAGCGATCTGCTCCCACCTCTGCTCCCCGCAGGACAGGCTCCCACCCCACCATGCCAGCACCATGGCACCGTAGCCACTCGCACTGTACCCCAGCAAAATACTAAATGGCTGAACGACCGCTGGCCTTGCAGCTTTCTGAGCCGTACCTTGTATAAAGGGCTTTCCCTTCTGCATAGCTAATCCTCACTATCCAGGTATTAAAAACAGAGTAACTCCCATGCTAATACTCGCTTTCAACAGAAATTATGTCTTTCTCTAAAAGCTTAAATTACAGGTTTGCTGCCTCTGAGTATTGGAAAAGATCCAGAATTAAATCATTCACTTCCAGAGTAAAGCTAGGAGCTACTGCAGGAAACAGGTTGCTCGATGCAACAGGGCAATTTGCAGGGAGCAGCTACTGGGTTCGTGGTGTCAGCCAGAAAGGCTCTTATAAGCAGAGATCATCCACAAAGCAGCACAGCCATGATTAAATACTGTTTTCAGCATCACTGGGAACCACAAAGCAAGAAGCTAGGATCGCACACACACTCACACAGATCCACCCTAGTTCCTTAGCTGAGCAGAGGTCAAGGGAGGATGAGAGACACAGGGCTTGAGTTGGTTTAAGTTAATCAAAAAACAAAAAAAACAAAAAAAAATACCCACTGCAGAACTGACTCAGCTCTCAACACATCACTGAAAACATTATGGTTTTGATTTTAAAGAAGTCCTCCAAGAGAGGATGGAGGCACGAAATCTGGTTTGTAAACATAATTTATGAGGACCGATGCAGTCCTTGCTGTTGCCTTTTTGCTGTGAAGACACCTTACTCAGGGACGTTTATTATTCTCTCCCCACTCTGCCATTAAGGTCTGAGATGAAGAACAAATGCAAGATAATTAAGCTCCTTACAGGAGAAAAAACAGATCAAACATAATTTCTATGTCTTGAAAAGAATTGGAAATGTCTAGACAGACGACAGACAAAATTGGTCTTGAATGTACTAATTTCAATAAGCTAAACCCCTGAATTACGGTGAAGAGATTGAGGTCTGCTCCTCTCCAAAAACTTTCCACAGCATTACCTTACCCTCCCTGTGACTCTGACATCCTTTATCCCGCCTGTGGTATTTATATCCGATAGCAGGGGACTGTAATCTGGGTCACCCACAGCCTGGACAGCCACCGCCAGCCCTCAGCAAGAGCTGCTGGAAATGCAAGCAGCACTGCAGAGTCCCAGCTCCGTGCCTCTGGGGAACTGGCTCTTACTGGGGGAGAAAAAGAGAGGAATGGGAAAGGTTTTCATCTGTCTGGGAACTCATAGTGCAAGCAGAGCCACCCTGAGGTCATGGGGGTTTGGGACACACTCTCCTTCCACCATGGGCACGCAGGGGTCACAGAGGCTCCCTCTATTTAAGGAGAGCCCGTACAACCTCAATAAGCGAGTTTGCGTAAGACATCCACCCCGGGGGGCACCTGAGCTTCAAGTGCTAATAAGGTTATTGCAAGGCTGCAAGAACATACTTCTGTCATTTAGATTGGTGATGTGACAGTGGAAAGGCAAGCAAATCACAGCAAAACAGCTCACTTAGGCACCATCAAAGACCTGCTCATCCAGAAACAGAGCTGGAGGAATAAAATTTTCCCATCTGGTCAATCCTATGGGATTTCAGGAAAGAAAACTTTATATAAAAAGACCTTCGAAAACATCTGCAGAAAACCCTAAGCAACGAACCAAGAGAACACAAGCATGAGCAAGGGGAGGAAGACCGCCTGGACAGCCAGAACAAAACTGCCAGTGCAGAAGTTCCACCACGAACCAAAACCCCCTTCCCTAGTGGAATTTCTCTCAAAAACAGTCTGATCAGACCCAAAGTTTCCAGTTCATAAGAGCAGTATTTCCCATTGGCAAGCCGTTCCCCAAGAAAACCCCTTCCATTCCCGCCCAGCCTGGGAGAAGGACCTTACCTGACACGCATTGTACAGAAGCTGATGCTCAAATTTCTTGATCCCCAAAATGTTCTGGAACATCTCGTAGAGCTGCTCCTTGCTGAGGATGAGCTCTGAGGCAGCGCTCGCCGTCATCCTGGCCTGCTGCTTGCGGGGATCCTCTTCCCCACGGTAAATAGCGTCAAACTTTGCCATCCAAGAGCTCAGGACCGTCTCCTTGCTGAGGCCATCAATTTCTGGCAGGCTGCGCACTCTCTTCTCAATGTGCTTCTTGAAGACCTCCCGGGAGTCATTTGCCGAGCACCCTCCGCTCTGCACCATCCTAGCAACACGGTCGCTTTTTAGGAACACCTGCAAAAAAGCGGTGACTTCAAATGGTGTCAGTTAAAAAAAAAAAAAAATCCCCCTTAAGTACCACAAAATGTGGTTTCACTGCTGGGAAGCCCACTAACTGGCTTCCAGTACACTTCCCAATGCCTCACTCAACAACCACATGTCGCCAGATGGACAAAGGTTTCAGCTGTACTTTGCGAAGCATAATGAAATTACGTGAAGCTTCTGCTTTGCATCCGCTAAAATGGAATATTTTGATGCAATTAGACCTCATGCGATGTTGTGGTCACACCTCACCAGGTACATAAATGCCCTTTGGGAAAGCAAGATTATATTTTGCTCTATCAAATGTTTTAGTAAGGAAATTATTGCACAACTACACTCACCTGGCCAAATTCTGCCCTGATAGAGGGAGCCCAGTCATCCTACTCAAGTCAACAGCATTGCATTGCATTTATCCTGGTAGCCAGGCCCCTGGGAAACCTCTGACCAGTGCAAGGACCAGGCTTACATTAAGCTACTACACCAGAGATCTTTGCAAACTGCCATGCTGTCCTCCCAAGAGGACAAGAATGGCATTGCATTCATTAATTTAATGTTACCTTCCGTTAACTAACATGTGTGTCTTCACTTCTCCCATACCCTGATCTTTCCAACCTGGGCAGCCAGCACTGGAAGAGTACAGTTAAAATGCCCCAGGAAAGGACAAGAATGAATGGCCTGATCTTTGCAAACTGATGGGTAAACACCAAGGCAACTCAGATCATTCAAAGGCACGCAGCCAGTGGCATGGCCACAGGCGGACGAGGCCAAATCCCTTCCTGCTCCAGCTCTGCTGAAGTAGCACAGGATGGTTCAGTGCAGCTTGAAGCTGCTTGGGAAGGCTTTGCAGAGAGAGCAGCCTGCAAGGTGCAGGACACTGACAGCAGGAGGGAGGGAGAAGGTGTTTGATGAAGATGCTCTTCCCACTGCAAGAGCAGCAGAAGGGTCAAAACATAACAGACCCCTGCAGACCAGGAGATGCCATGGGAGCAATGCAGAGCTGAAGGGTGAGAGATGGACAGGGGGATATTGTGTTGGCTCTCCTTTCCCAAGCCCTGAATATGGGAGAGCAATCGATGCCCAGCAAGAACTGCTGTTTTATTAATGATGCTGAGAACGGATGAATGCAGCAGGCTGGGAAGAAGCTGTGCCAGCACCAGGGTGTATCTGTCAGCTTTCAATAATTAAAGAGCTCCAGGATGACCTAAGGACATGGTAGATTTTTTTTTATACCACTCAGCAACATGGCAGTCCATGTTCCCAGATGCTTGACGGCACAGCATCTGTCAGGAGCAGTAGTGGGTTTTGCTCCAGGACCAGCCCAGAAATGCTTCTGAGGAAGAGCTGGGCTGTTTCCTTCCAACATCACTGTGCTGGGGAACACTCCCTGCGGACAAGACAGGCAGGATGCCACCAGCAGCCTCTTCAGTCTGTGCTGAAATGATACCAGCACACATTTTGTTTCCTTGCAGAACTTAAATATGAGTGATAACACCCTGGGTGTGCACAGGTGCTTTTAGGTAATAGATGAGAGCTACCAAAATCCAAGCTGCCAGCGCAGCTGAGGAAGTCCCCAGCACGCTGACTGCTGGAAACAGCGGGAGGTCACGGCGAACGGCCTCGCTGCTGCATCCTCAGCTCCCACATCCCCTCTCTAATCATCCGCTCCAGACGCCTTTGGCCCGACCCTGTGTGACAGTGCTAATGACTTCCCATAACCACCGGCACCAGCGGCTGTTGTTATCCCTGGTCCTCACCCCAGTTGGAGGGGGGTGATGGCACTGCGAGCAGAGGGACCCGACTCCCCGTCTCCCCTCAGCCCTGATTCATCCTCCCGGGGGTGGAGCAGCAGCCAGCACAGGAAAGGAGGGCTGCGACTGGCAGAAAGGAGGCAGGCGCAGGGGAGTGCCAGTCGGACACAAAGCAGCAGAAAAAGACCATGAAATAGGAAGATAAAAAAAGATAAAAGAGGTGTTTTGTCCTGCAGAGCGAGCTGCTTTCTTTAGAAAATACCAGGTGAATCACCTGGCTGTAAAGACTGCCTAGTAGGACTGCCAGGAGTCAAGAATTGCTGGAGCAAAATCCTAGCATGGGTGCATCCATCGGCGCACACAGAAGAGAACTGGCCTCCATGAGCTGGGTCAGGCATCTCCTGCCACATCCATAGATGAGCCCCCCAGGTCATGCATGATCCTGGCTCTGTCTGCCCACAGCAGAGTGGAAGTGGGTCAAACGAAGCACTTCCATAATACCCACTGAAGGGACTGCTGCATAAAGCGTTGATTGACAGACGAAGCTTTACTCATGAGAAGCAAAAGGACATCAGACAGGCTCTCCTGGAGTGTCTGTTGGAGCGTGCTGGGCCCATCTCGCACACACGGATCCGCAGCATTCTTGCAGGCACAGCGGTGCTTTGCAAACCAGTGCTGGAGCCTGCTCAGCTCAATCTTATAATTTGATAGCAGCCTGTGAACTAGTCTAGGACTGGTGATCACACGCTTACAGCAGACTTAACAGCAGAATGTGGCCATGCAAACATGTCCTTGGCAAGAGCAAACGCATCCCTGACCTACCATGTCACCGTTACCTCTTTCTTTCTCCAGCAAAAAAAAAATCATTCCCCAGGTAATGATCCTGTACTGCACTGACACTAAGTGATCCCCTTAGAAACACCAGCCATGTCCTGCACAGACATGGCCAGTTTCAGCTAAGCAACAAACCAAGTTTTAGTATTTTCCAAGCCATCATGCAGCTTTATAAGTCAGTACCTAAACACCAATTTCTAGATAGCATCCATCCAAGGGCCAGTTAATTGCACAAAACTCTGAGATTTGGAGGAGCTGAGCTAAGCAGGTTCTGCTGTGATTGCACCATGGCTCAACCAAGGGCAGGCACCTCCGTGCGGAGAAGGGAGGAAGGAGAACGCCATCAGCAGGGAACGCTGCTCAGGTGCTGAGAGGGGGCAAAGGCTTTCTGCTGCGAGGCTTTGCCTTGTGCCACTGCAGATGGTGCCGAGGAGGACACACGCAGCCATGCTACAGCTGCACAGAAGCTGCAAGTACACGGCCGTAAATCAAATGAGACCAACAGTTAAAGAGAAGAAAAAGAAAGTTGCGCTAAAGGACACAGAGCGATCCATTACGCTTTTTGTGGCCTGTTTTATATAGGACAGAGCAGGTGGAGTGTGCAGTCGAACTGAAGACATAGGGTTTGCAGACATCTAGTGCTGATCAACTGCTCTTCGTACGTTTGATTACTTGAGGTAATTATACAGCATAGGTCTTCTGGAGCTGGTCAGGACATGCTTTCAGCCAGACCCACCAGTGAAACAGGGATGTATTTTGCCTGTTTTTAAGCAGTTTCCTTTTCCTGCCCGACAGCCTTATCTAAACAGTTCACGCTGCTCTTACATCCTAAAATGCAGCTCACGCCATCTTGAAAACTTTCTCTGAAAGCATCTGTTCGGTGAAGCTGTGATAAACTGATGATCCCTTGGCAATTTCTTTTCTGGTAAGAGATGTAAATTACTCTCAGCTTCCTTCCTGTACAGAGAATGATGGAGCAGTAACTACTAGGCCGGTTTAATAGAGTTAATCCAGAGATAATTTGCGCTTTCCTTACACAGAAGCAGCTGCTGCCATTTTTTATAGAGTTAAAATTCTCTTCAGTTTTAGTATCTGATTTTGGTCCCCTCTTAGATTCCACTTCCAGTGAAATATTTTATGTAGGCAATTCAAAATCTTCACCTTTTATGACAGAATAGCTCTAGGGAGAAAGAGAAATGGTTTGCAGAAAGGCTAGCAAAAAAATAAGAGACACTCCTCATACAAATCACAAGCACTGATTTCCTTCAAAAACAGAAGCTCTTTCCTTCTGAGAAAAGATAAGAGAGGCAGCATTAAGGGCTGCATACAAAGAGGTGCAAATAGACAGACATGCATAATTATTCTTTTGCACAATTATGAATGATGCTTCATGTTCTTTGGTATCATCTAGTTTTGTACATCCCCCTTCCTCCCCCTTTGCTTTACAGCACTTGTCATACCAGAGAGAAAAGACAAGACTCTTGCTGAAAATCCCAAAGTCAATTAGACAGAATGTAAAAGCTTCAGCAAGAACTGAACGTGCTGCCCAGTTTTCTCTTGGTATTTTTCATAGAGAGCACATGACATTTATTTTATATCGTGCCATCTTTCTTGTTTTAGAGTGCGCTGTTCAAAAGTATCAGGAAGATATTTTTCAGCTTAAAGGAAAGACAATCCTCCTCATAATCAAGCTATAGGATACACCATGGTGTAGGGGTTGCCATGGTTGCCGTATGGTTGCATGTTCAAACCCTGAACCTCACAAACCTTGTGATGTACCAGACATCAGATGGGAGAAGCCTTGCACTTGCCTTTGTTTTGTGCTTTGTTGACAAAGGACAAAGAATCCATTAGTTCAGGATTCGACCCCATCTGTGAATAGGGGTGAGAACAGGAATTCTTATGAATATCGTATCGTCTCTCCTTACCTCATAGTAGCTCTGGACAGCATTTATAAATGCTTCATCTGCCACAATCTGTGTTTCTCCATTGAGAAAGGCCTGGAAACGATCTTTGATTGTCTGGAGCTGCTGCTTACTTATCTGCAAAATATGCAAAAGGAGAAAATTAGTCAAGAAAGGTTTATGTGTGAGGAAAAACCCCCTAATTCTTCTGCAATATCTTATCGGGTGCTTATGATGTGCACTTCTCTTCTCCTTTGGGGACAGCAGCAACAGATGAGGAATCAGCCATGTGTTGGTACACACACATGTGCACTCTTCATCCCAGAAAGTTCATTTAAGCACCACGAGCACCTGAAGTCACCCTGAACATCATTTCTAAACAACTCTGCTGCCACAAAATGTACACAAGACTTTTACCATTTCAGGTATACCTAAGTCAAAAGCAAGCTGCTGTGGGCATGCTCGGAAGAGACTGTTTCAGTGTAATCTCTTCCCCATTTATCCTCTCCTCCCCTTCAGAAGATGAGGTTTCATTACCGAACAGGAAGCCTTGTGAGCTGGCTGTTGAAGACAGACACCTTGGTCTTTCCTCATTTGTTTTTTTTTTTTTTTTCCTTGCTCATTTCTTCTATCTTGTCACATATAAAACACCAGTCAGGACCAGTGGTGAAAAAATTTAATGCCACTTAATGCCAAAGAAATTATACGAGGGCAAACCTGTTCTCCACATCCTAGCAAGGACTTTATCTGCTGTCTCTGCTGCTCAAAACAGTTTCTGTCCAGCATACAGCTGGTATAACTTACAATTCTAATTTTGGCACAATGACATCAATAGAAAGTTTACAAGGCTTTATTCCAGCCTTGTAAGACAACATGCCATTATTTTGCCAATTTATCTGTCAGTTTAAAAACAGATACAGCTAAAAAACCCCACCTCTTCAGCTTGTAGTGCAAAGTCACAGCAGGCAGAAAAATCATGTACCAGCAATGCCAGGATAACATCTCAAGATGCAGATAACACTCATGCTGAAGGGCTGCAGGGATTTAAATGTAGTTGTGCCTGGTTTACCACAGGGCTACTTCAGGTTTGAGGATAAGAATTAATTTAGGCAAAACAGAAGGAAGCAAACAAGATGTGTATACAACAACTTCAAACTTGAAGGGAAAAGAGAGCAGTAAGAATTAGGACAACTATTTGCTAATGACCAAAAGGTCTAAAGAAAAATGCTTTTTTTCCCTCACTTGTACGCCAGCAGAAGAAACCAGCCCATTAGAATGGAAGAGAAAAATTAATAGCTTTAAGTGTCTAAATGGCTTTGAATAAAGTATCAAAAACTACAGAAATCCAAACCACCAGAGTATACTGAAGCCTAGTAAACACAGCTAGTGAAAAATGTAGGAGAGGGACCACTTGGAAAATGCAACGATAAATATTACTAGATCTAGATGATGCGCCATGCAGGGTGTTTAGGGACTGTGGTAACAAATATCATGAATACTGGTAATTAATTCTGCAACACCATGCTGAGGAGGGTTAGTGAGCAATGGCAATTTGATGCAATAGTCTGGGATTAGTTTATCCTGGTGCTTATGGAGAGGTGTTCATCAAAGTCACATAAAGCAAGACTCAATATGCTCTGCTTCAGAAAAAATGGCCTTCGCCACCCCTGAGGGTGCTGGAAAGATGGGTCATTCCCACCCCCAAAGCAGCAGCCCAGACTTCACAGGGTCTGACACATGCAAGAAGGCTCAGCATCACAGGGCTGGAGCAAGGACCATCCCTCTAACCTGAGCCACCTCAGCCTTGGGCACCATCTCCAATGAGCCCTGTGGGAAAGCACTGCCGAAAGGTCCTGGCTTAAAGGGTGGCAGGATCTAGTTTTTAGCTGTAAGACTCCATCTGCCACGTCAGGCACCTAAAACCCTTTGTCGTGTCTGCCCTAGACATCATGAGCCCTTGGGCAATATGCACAGCGTCAGACGTAAAGCAGGCTCCAAACCTTTCTGAGCTGATGGAAGCTCCTGACAGAATTGAAAAGAAAACTGGGTCAGCAGTAAGAGGAGCCAGAGACAATGTACTGATCAAGTGGGAGACACCTGTGGGAAGGCGCTAGGTCTGTTTTTATTAAGCATTTAATTATCTGGAAGAAGAGAAAAGCAAGATCTTAATTAAATATATTGATGATTTTGTATTAGCAACCATTGTGAAAGTCAGGCAGAAACGACGGGGCAATAGAGGCCGTAAGAAACCAAGAAAAGAAACAGGAAAACTACAGGTAACATTGAAATCAGGGTGTTGAGGCACAAGGAAAGACATACTAAAAGCATAGATCCTCTGAGCCAGGAGGCTTTTCATTTGGGATTTTAACAATGTGCATGGCATTTTTGTTTCCCCCCCCCCCAGGTTATTTCTTAGGACAACCTCAGAAGTCCTTGCTTGTTCAATTCCTATAATGCCATCTAGCAGCAATATTTTATGCTCCTTCCTGAATATTGAATGGGCTACCTTCAAAACAAATGACGCTCCTTGAAATTCCTAGAAACTCCCCATACGCAGCTCACGTGAGCTGCTGGGGGCTCTGGAAATGAATCACCGGGTTTATCTCTATTAGAGTGTCAGTTGCCTCCTCCTCACCCCCAAGCTCTATAAAATATTTTCCCCGTCCAGACAAAAGGAGATCCTCTCGGATCACGCCAGGCTGCACCATGGCCCAGTCCTCGGCTAACGGGGCCCTCGGTCGTCCGTCCCCACCAGACCGTGGAGCAGCACTGGTGTATTGATTTGTGTCCCTGCCACTGTTACGGATGTTATCAAGAGCGCAGTCAATCTGAGCCAAAATTAAACTGCTTTCATATTAAATTTAGCTTCTGCAGCACAGCAGCAGGTGCCTGGTGCAGAAAGCCAGCACCAGCGAGGGAGCGGAGGGGACCAGACCTGCCGGTCAACAGAATCTGCCCAACACGTTCCACCTCCCATTTTACGCCTCTTCCCCTCCCCGTGAGGTGCCAAGGGCATCACCGCCAAACCCCAGAAGCAACCCTTGGGCAGCCGGGAGGCAGCACCTCCCCGGCAGAGGCTGGACCAGGGCAGGGGAGCAGCCTCAGCCCCAACATCACGCCTCGAAGCCTCTAAGCGGGGCCAAGCAATGCCACCAACCCATCCACAGGCTTGAAGGTGTACGTGCCCTGAACACTCACCTGGAAGCTTAAGTGCTTTAAAGGCAGGGGTGTTACTTTATCTCTTGCTATTAGAGGCACTGTCCTGGTTGTGGCTGGGATAGAGTTAATTTTCTTTCTAGTAGCTGGTACAGTGCTGTGTTTTGGATTAGGATGAGAATAACGTTGATAACAGGGATGTTTCCGTTCCTGCTGGGCAGTGCTTACGCAGAGTCAAGGCCTTTTCTGCTTCTCACCCCACCCCACCAGCGAGCAGGCTGGGGGTGCACAAGAAGTTGGGAGGGGACACAGCCAGGACAGCCGTCCCCAGCTGACGTATCAGTTGGGATATGCTGGATATATATATATGGAGATATATCTCTCTCTCTCCATATATATATGGATATATGCATATCTCCATATATATTTACAGATATCCCAACAAAGGGATATCCCATACCATATGACGTCATGCTCAGCACATAAACTAGGGGGAAAGCTGGCCGGGGATCCGCTGCTTGGGAACTGGCTGGGCATCGGTCAGCAGGTGGTGAGCAATTGCATTGTGCATCGCTTGTTTTCTATATTCTTTTATCATTATTATTATTTTCCCTTTCTTTTCTGTCCTATTAAATTGTCATTATCTCAACCCAGATGTTTTACTTTTTTTTTTTCTTCCCCCTCTTGATTCTGTCCCCCATGCCAGCGGGGGGAAGTGAGTGAATGGCTATGTCGTGTTTAGCTGCCTGCCAAGTTGAACCACAACAGGCACTAGTGATCAGCTAGAAATCCATCTAAAGCAAGCTGACAACTTCTGCAGATCCAGTAAGGCCACTAAGGGGCCAATATGAACCACTTCTCACTTTGTCACCTTCCGTAGCGTGCTTACAAATAGTGGAAAACAACAGAATTACTTCCCCTTTGAAGCGCATCAGTACAATACCACAGCCTTTGCACCAGCTATGGCAGGAGGTGAAACCCTGTTGGGTTGCAAGCCCAGCGGGTGTGAGGCTGGTGGGGGGCAGAGCCTCCCTGCCCCTGATGCAAATACAAATCCAGGTGTCACCACACAGCAGAAAAGCAGAGAGCTGGGAGTAAGCAGGAGTACTGTGGTGGATGGAAGAGGTTTATTCTATTTGCCTTCCCTCGCTTTTCCAACCCTCACTGCTTTTCCCCACAACTGCTTTCAGTGTGTGACAGCCGTTAAAGAAATAATGGTCATTTCTGCATTCAGAGCTTGCAGAACACCCTGCTTGCCTACAGTGACTCTGGACCCAAGCGAACTCTCCCAAGTTAATATTGCGGTGTGTTTATGCAGCAGAGTGTTTCACAGCCTTTATCTGTCTAAAGCATGTGAGTACTTCAGTTGCCAGATACACACATGCATATTAAAAATGTAATTGAGACAGTGACGATGAACTCCTGGCACAGGTATCAGGCAGGGCACCCATGGAGCTTTGGGCTGGCATCCCTAGTGGATTTATGTGAGTGGCTTTTTATGAGAAACTTGGCAGACATCTTCTCCATAACAGACTAAATTATGGGGAAGAGCTCACCAGCAACTAGATCCAGGCATCCAAATGCTTCCTACCTTCTTGGTCTAACTTTTTGTTTGTTTCCTTTTTCTTTTTAAGAGAAACTGCATGCCCAGCACAATCTGGAGACCTCAGAAACAGGGTGGAACAATCTCTGGTACATACCATGTCCTCACCATGGTCACAAGCAAATCACAGAGGCAATTTCTTGAATTTGCTTGATGCAGATCTCAGCAAATGGCGCACCAGCCTGCTCGGGACAAGCGCTCGCGCACCAGCACCTTTCTTGCTATGTGTTAATTTTGCACGTATTCCATCTGACTCGGAGATGAATGCAAACCTGAATGCACAGAGCCATGGCACCTTCTCCAGAGTTGTCCCAGCCAGCAAACAGCTGGCACCATCTCTGCACATCGTCTCCAGCCTCCTTCGCCTACACCAGGGGAG